TGATTCTCCTGCCTCAGCCTCCTGTGTAGCTGGGACTACAGGCTCCCACCGCCACGCCCAGTAACTTCTGTATTTTTGGTAGAGACAGGGTTTCATCACGTTGGCCAGGCTAGTCTCAAACTCCTGACCTCAAATGATTCACTCACCTCAGCCTCCCAAAGTGCCGAGATTACAGGTGTGAACCACCAAGCCTGGCCACATTCTGCTTGTTAAGCAGTAAAGTCAGCATCACCTACTGGTTACATATGAGCCAGGTAACAAAACCCGCAGTCCACTGGAACCAAAGCTGCACGTGTGCAAAGGTCACATTACAACAGGACACCAAAGAAGATGCTGGATAGTAAATTCAGGGGCCAAGCTATCAGTTCCTGGACAGAAAACCCTGGGAGCGTCCAACAAAGCCCCAAATCAAATGAGGTACAACCACCGAATGAGAAACAATAGCAAATTGTCTGACCAACCAGGGGTAGAGCAGTTACAGGCAGATGCACGTGTGTGCAAAGGGCACCTGTAACTGCTACCAACAGGGCAGATGAGTTCTGCATTTACTGGGGCAGAAACTTGTATTTAAAAGTTTAGTGAAAGAGTAAGTCCTCCATCTATAGTAGAACTCAAGAAGCACCAAGTTCATTGTAAGCCAGAGTGTTTTTGCATACCGTTAACACTGGGAATATCCGGGACACTTAACTGTTTTATGATATAAGCCACGAGAAGAGCTGTATAATTTTAGTGACCATATTATTTACTTTTCCACGACTTATTCCCATTAAAACAATCTTTTAGAACCCCCTTTTTAGTTTTTGGCTCATGCCAAAAAAAAGCATGCCACTTAGAAAGCATGCCACTTCTAAGTGCCACTGGTGGCAAGACCCTTTCGATAGCCACTAAAAGTTCAAACATTTTTCCAAGGACAGAGGATGCCATTCAGAAAAACAGAACAGGCGCCTCTGCTTGAATTTGGTTAATTTTGTCATCTGCACATGTAGTACTCAAGGCATACCCTCCCCTTCAATAGGCGATAGAGAAAATCTGCTCCCCAGGCTCTTACCAGAGAGGTCAACATTTATTTGGCCTCTGCTACTTCTTCCCAGAGCCTTCCTGAGAGAACTGATCATTGACAGAGATGGAATTAGAGGAATGCAATCTATCCATTCTTCTGGGCAGCTTAAGCTCTATCAAGTTAGCTATCTGGCCCTTAACACTGTGGTCATGGTCCATTGGGGTGGGACAAAAGGCCTTAAGACTTTCCTGGTTTGAGGAGTAACAGTGAAGCGGACCAATTCATGGCCCATCACAAGATCCTCATGGCCATGGGCTGTACCTTGGAACACCTGAAGTGGATGATGTGAAAACTCTGTTAACTGCGGCTTCCCCTGTCTTCTCCTTACCTTCTACCTTCAAGATGAAATGTCTTTGCTAAATTATCTTAGACATATTGATGTTATAGCTTCAGTTTTCATGAAGAGAGAATATAAGAAATGGTAACATGAAAAATATCCTGACAAATTTGCACTCAGTAAGACACTACACTGTCCATCATATTTTCTCCTCATATAAGAAGAAATACGGGAAATGTCTTTAAAAATTTTAAACCATAAAAATATATTTATTTAAATTAAAATTTTGTTTTCAAAGAGAAATAAATAATGTACCGTCAGCCAAGAAGCTCAGAGTTGAGGTCAATACTCAATTGCAAAAACTCTATCCGCCTTGGGATATATGAAATATACATATCCTCCCTACCAGCACATTGTTTTCTACTTATATTTCAATATTCTGCTAATGAAATGCCTTTTTCAAGATACTTCAAATCCTTTTTGGGAGTAGATGAGTTGTACATTAAAAAAACTTCAAGAGGGATGATAAACACAAAGCTTTAAGAATAGATTGTATTTTAAAAGACAGTAAAATACAGTGGCTAAAAGCCATACTACTTGGTTTTTGAATTGCAACCCAGGCATCCCTGACTTTGGTCAAGGTCTTAGTCTCTCTCTGAGTCAGCTTCCTTATCTGTAAAGTGCAGTGAACAACAGTTCCTTCATATAGGGTTATTTTGAGGAACAAATGTATTGGAGGAATAAATGAAGCACTTAGAATAGTAAGCAGTAAACATGGTTTGCTCACGGGCTAATGTTAAACTCTATTAGTATATGGTAGGATCAAAACGTCCTATCCTATTAGGCTTCGGGACTTTGTCTATTCCAGTGCAACATACAATGCTTACCTACTGTGGCAGATGCTGATGACAGCAGGGATTTGCCCCAGGATCCCCAACCTGCCCATCCTCCTCCACTTGGAGGGGAATCCACAGCCTGGAGAAAAACAGATTAGCCACAGGTCAGCAATTCAGTATTATCTCTGAATGGAAAAACATCTATTGGTTTGAAACAAAGAGGAGGTTTGGAAAAGAATCATCAACAACCGCATCTCATTGGCTTATAGTTTATAAGGGTCATAAAAGAATATCCCGACCTACACTGCAATGTGTACTTTGGAACCAAATTTATTAGTGCTGGTGTTGGCTTCTGAAGGCTTGGTTTGAAGGGAGAAGGGAGTTTGATGTTAACTGAGCCTTGATTCTCTCCCATTATCTAGAAGACAAGGAAAAGGGTTGTATGGGAAACAGATATGCATGAGGGCACAAGAGTGATTTGAAAAACTTCAAAATGACCTGGACCCAAGCAATTCTTTCAGGGCTTTAAAAAATGTGCTCTTCAAGGTAGAGTTAACTTTTAAGGCTCTGGGGCAGTGGGCAGGTGCTTTGGCATGGATGAGAGGCAAAGTGCCTAAAAAGCATCAATAAGCCTAAGATGGATGGGTAGCAGTGACAGGAAGCCTTGCAAGGTAGAAACCTTTGAATCGAGGTGCCTGCTTCGCTCACAATGGCCCCTGTAACACAGGGATAAGAGTGTCCCTGACTTCAGTGAATTCCAATTCTTTTGCCTGGGTTTTTGGAATTAGAACTGAGAGACTGTGGTTCAGTGTGAACTGTGTGCATAAGCAGAAGACGAAAACTCAGGCTTGTGGGTGGTCATGTTCTACCCATCATGCAAACTAAGAATTAAGAGAAGGCAGAGTGAGCAGAATAGAGATTGGCTTAGAGCTGCTGTTTGGATTCCTGACAGCTTCTTAGTCCCTGGTTTCTGTCCCTCCCCACAGCCCTGCTGCTTGCCAATCTTTGGATTCTATGAGATTCTCTCATCTTCTTGTTCATTCTTTTCTTAAAAAATGTTTTGTTCACTGATATAACCCTAGAGCCTAGAAGAGTTCTTGGAATATAATGAGTGCTTAATAAATATTTATTGAATAAATGGCTGAAATGCATCCATTTTCTCAGTTAGGTGTGCATGAGTTTCTGTTACTTGCAACCAGTAAGTCCTGATTTAAGTAGTGGAACCCCAGCTTTCTCTTTCTGTCTGGGAACACATCCTAGAAAACAAGGCAAGAATAAATATACTATTAGTTACATATATGGAGGATCATAGCTCTTTTTACTCATAAGGAAGGAAGGAACAAAGGAAAGAAGGAAGGAAGGAACGAAGGAAGGGCAGAGAGAATGTAAGGAGACAGTGAAAAATTCCTATAGCATAAGGCCAGACGCAGTGGCTCATGCCTGTAATCCCAGCACTTTGGAAGGTCAAGGCGGGCGGATCACTGAGGTTAGGAGTTCAAGACCAGCCTGAGCAACATGCAGAAACCCCCTCTCTACTAAAAATACAAAATTAATCCCAGCTACTCAAGAGGCTGCCATGCCTATGACCTGAAAGGTATTGCCTAGGTTTTCTTCTAAAAAAAAAAAAAAGAGGCTGAAGCAGGAGAATCACTTGAGCCCGGGAGGCAGAGGTTGCAGTGAGCCAAGATCACACCATTGCACTCCAGCCTGGGCAACATGAGTGAAACTCTGTCCCAAAAAAAAAACAACAAAAAATCCTACAGTGCCTGTAGATTCCATAACTTTTGACCTGCAGCTGGTCCATCAGTCATCCTCAACTCCTTACTCCCTTGCTGTTTTCTACCCTTGCAGATAAGGATGATCATTTGAAACATGAGATATATAAATGGAAAAGTTTTTGCTTTCATGATAGTTACAGCGAGTGCCCACTGTTTCGCCTTCTCTTTTTCAAATATGAAGTTTGAAATTGAAGCAGTCATTTTTGCTGCCACAAGGGAAAGGACAAGAAATCACAGTCACTGGTCCTGGCTCTGCTGAGCTCCTAAACCAACATGAGTAGCTGCCTGTTTCCATTCCTTCTATGAAGTGAGAGAAAAGAAAATCACTACTTTGTAAACTACTATATGTTGGATTTTAGTTACTTCGACTCAAAAGCGTTCCTACTTGATTCAAATACTACCCATCAGTGTAGAGTACTAGTTGAGATTAAGTTATGGAAGTTAAATTGCTTGGGTTTGACTCCAGGCTCTGCTGTTTTGCACAACAAATTACTCAAGTTACTTTACACCTTCATTTCTTCATTATAAAATGCAAAGTGTAGTATAAGTGCCGCAAGTATAAGAACCAATATCCTCACCAGGTGGCTGTGAAGATTAAAAGTGATAATTTATATAAAGTTGTGAGCATAGTGCCTGGCATATAAGAAGTACTCCATAAGTGTGAGCTAGAAACAATGATAAGACAAAACTATACTTTTAAGACTAAGAAGCAAAAAGCTTTGAAAGTTAGCTGTCATTTTTTTTCTTTCTGTCTGGAAACAATGAGAACCTTGTTAACATGAATGGAAATATTCATGAGTCATCACTGCCTGCTTTCATTTTTGGTGTCTACATTGATTTACTTCACTTCAGCAATGGAATCCAGTGGTAATTTTCCACCATTATGAAGACAGATGAAAGTCAGTGATTAATATCATTCTTTCACAGGACAAATCACTACCTATGATTAGGAAGAGTTAATACAATTAGAGGTGACAGCTTCTGACTCAAATTTATAATATTTATTATGCTCTGACAGCTGGTAATTGACTAGCAAATGGAAATAAATGTTAAATGAGTCTAGAACTTTTTGCTGTATAAGTGACTATTTCAATTGCTTTATTAATAAAGTCCTTTGCCATTGAGCTGTGACATCTTGATCAGCTATAAAGAATATTTGTTGGCTGGGTGCAGTGGCTCATGCTTGTAATCCCAGCACTTTAGGAGGCCGAGGTGGGTGGATTGCCTGAGCTCAGGAGTTCGAGACCAGCCTGGGCAACATGGTGAAACCCCGTCTCTGCTAAAATATAAAAAGTTAGCAGGGCATGGTGGCGTGTGCCTGTAGTCCCAGCTACTTGGGAGGCTGAGGCAGGAGAATTGAAAGAACCCGGGAGGTGGAGGTTGCAGTGAGCTAAGATCGCGCCATTGCACTCCAGCCTAGGTGACAGAGCAAGACTCTGTCTTAAAAAAAAAAAAAGTTGTTATCAAATGGAAAATAAATGAATAAGTACACATGTTTAATGTAAAACATATAGACTAAATGTTAAAGATGAATTATTAGATCTCAGCATGAGTATTTTTTCCATTTTAAACGGACCTAACGTCACACAATTAGGAGACTCTACAACAGGCAGCATGGAGCTACGCAGATTACCTATTACCAATGGAGGAATTTTAAAACTTTTTTCTCACTCTCCCTGCCCTGTAACTCCCACCTCCTTCAACAGACAACTTCACATCCTAATTCACAGAGAAAAAATAAAGCCATCAGATGAGAACGATCTCAACTGCCTTCCCACTCCCCATAACTCTGAGAAAAATGACCTTATATTATAACAGCAACTCAGACTTAGCTTGATCAAGAAGGATATTCAAAACTCAACTGGAGATCATTTAAACATCTAAACCTTTGTGTGGTCCTAAGAAACAATGTAGGATTCTATCAAGTTCACTGTTCTTTTTTTTTTTTTGGAAACAGGGTCTCGCTCTGTTGCCCAAACTGGAGTGTGTGGTGTGATAATACCTCACTGCATCCTCCAACTCCTGGGCTCAAGTAATCTTCCTGCCTCAACCTCCCCAGTAGCTGAGATTATAGGCGTGTGCCACCACAACTAGCTAATGTTTAAAAATTGTTTTCTATACAGACAGGATCTCACTATGTTGCCCAGGCTGGTCTTGAACTCATGGTCTCAAGTGATCCTTCCATCTTGGCCTCCCGAAATGCTAGGATTACAGGTGACTGCACCTAGCCTAAGTGAATGTTGTTTAGAAATAGGAAAGAGATGTTCATACCTAGTATCCATTTAAAGATCTTTATCATTAAACAGAAAATGCATTTATTTTAGGCTATCAAGTTTAAAGGTATTAGATAGAAAAAAAAATCTCAGAACTCCATCAAATTCAAAGGTCTCTAACATTTAGATGGAAAAATATGTACCTATCTTAAAGGTGAAGAAGCAGCTTGGTTGATCTATTTCCTTGAGCAGATCAAGAATCAGGTACTGTGTATAACTTGCATCCAGGGATGTGGGCAACGAAACCCATGAGTTTCGTAACTCATAGGGTGATCTACTCTTTTTAATTTTTGTAACTCATGACATAGCTACTCTAAAAAGGGCGTCACTATGACAGCTAAGAGGATGAAAATTGCTCTGGAGCCCGAAACTCTGTCAAAATATCTGATCGAAAATGGCCTCAGTTATTTCCAGCTAATTTTCTTTCTTTTTTTTTTTTTTCTTGAGACAAGAGTCTTGCTCTATCGCCAGGCCCCAGGCTGGAGTGCAATGGCGCGATCTCGGCTCACTGCAACCTCCACCTCCCGGGTTCAAGCAATTCTCCTGCCTCAGCCTCCTGAGCAGCAGGGACTACCAGCGTGCGCCACCACGCCCAGTTAATTTTTGTATTTTTTAGTAGAGACGGGGTTTCACCATGTTGGCCAGGATGGTTTCGATCTCTTGACCTCATGATCTGCCCACCTCACCCTCCCAAAGTGCTGGGATTACAGGTCTGAGCCATCGCGCCTGGCCCTTTCCAGCTAATTTTCTTCCTTGGTAAATATGTGTCATTCAACTCTGGGAGGATTTAAAAATTAAATATAGAAAGGTTTAAAGTATTGAACACATGCTATTCATATTTTCATGCATATTTGGTCCTTTCTGTACTACTAATATTGACGGAATCTGACCTATTGGAGTGACAGTTTTTGAAAATCAATTAAAAATGAATAATTGAATTATTAGGCTTCTGATTTTAAGCTGAAATCATCCCAAGTTTCTGCATATTATTAAGAGGACTTTAAGTCAACTCTATAAATGTATTTTAATAGCTTTATAACAATAATCATAATTATTATTATTTGAGACGCAGTCTCTCTCTGTCGCCC